CACCGGATCAGTAAATTTCACCACCGGTTCTCCCGAACCGGTGCGAACTGGCAGAAACCCACCACTGTGCTGCTGTTATTATATATAACAACAAAACAGTAAGTTAGTTTTCCAAAAACCATCAAAGGTTTTTCTGGTCAAAACTGTACATTAATATTCAACAGTTTTGTATTACCAATTACTAATTTCCATCCAATATTGTTTAGATTGTTTACAAGTCACTTGTGAGCAATGAGTCTCTCAACTTTCCTCATTCTAGCTTCAAACTCATCCTGCTAGTGGTTAAAATTCTGAGGTATGGGGTTTAAATCCCCATATATCCGTATTTTTCGGAGTATAAGACACACCTTTTTTCCTCAAAAAGAGGCTGAAAATCTGGGGGTGTCTTATACACTGAATACAGCATTTTTTGCCTCCCAAAGCCCACCCCCTTTGCAAAAATGGCCATGCATAGCCTTTAGGCTGCCAGTGCTCCTGGGGGCTGGGGAGGGCAGAAATGAGTGAAAAACAGGCCGGGTTTTTTTGCTCCTTTTTGCCCCCTCAGCCCCCAGGAGCACTCTATAAGCCTCCTAAAGGCTATGCATGCCTTTTTAAAAAAAATGGGCTGATTTTGGGAAGTTTGCAGAGTACAAAAACTTTTTTTTAAATTTGCCTCTTCAAAACCTTGGTGGGTCTTATACTCCGATGCGTCTTATACTCTGAAAAATATGATAGTTTATGGCTCTCTGGCTAACTTTGGGTCAGTTATGCTCTCTTAACTCCTGCTATCTTATGGGGCTGCTTTGGGGTTGTAATAGATCCCCACATATATTGCCTTAAATCTTTAGTTGAGCTATAAATGCAGTAAAAAAAATACAGCCCCCAATTCACACCGTGGGTATCCCTGCTGAGCTGATCCCACATCTCTGTACTTGAGTCCATGCTCTGAATGCTCAGTGATCTCCTTTCCCACCAATTTCAATTTCAACAAGTCAGCCAGCCAGCCAGTCTGTCTATCTATCTCTTTTCCTCTCTCTCTCCATCCCAAGTAGAATTTGGAAGGAGCAAGCCTGAGGGCCAGTTGGACCAGTTTTAATGATGCATCTTCTGTCATCTTCCAGCTGATGCAGCCAGAGAGGAGCTGCATCAGCCCAATCATAGCTGCCCTCACTTTTTGACAGCCACCCAGAAGCATCTCCTTGGCACTGCCAGCTTGGAGCATCAGAAGCCCAAGGCACGATCAAGATCTGAGGAGGCTGAATGCCTGTCTGGGTCCGTCTCTCTGCTCATGAGGGACTGGGCATGTCCAAGGTGAATGAATGCTGTCCTTGTCATGGCTACTTACACGATTTCAGCCATGTATTTTTGGATAATGATGTCACCATGAGGAGGAGGAGGAGGGGCGGGGGGGACAAGGTAAATATCCATTTACATTCTGCTGCCAGCAGGAACACAGACCAGGTATTGGAATCTGGCAGGAACTGGTTGCCACAGAATTTCCCAGCAGTCGTGGGAAAAGATTAACCCAGCTTTCCTCTAAGAAGCTGGCTTGGAAATTTCCGTCTTGCCACCGGCTGCCTGCCCTGGGTGGGAAAGACCTGGATACACAGCTCAGGGCAGCTGATAACCTTGGCTTGGCTCAGCCCGACTTTTGCTTCCAGGGAAAGAAGGAAAGCCCGCCTGGTTTTGTGAGAAAGGCGGCAGTCAACCCCTGGCACCACCGGGCTAGCCCAAAGGGAGGCCCAGGCAGGAGATGCCACTAGCACACATGAGTGATTAATGTGCCTGACTGGGGAGCAGAGACCCAGAGACCTCCTTTGAACTTGGCAACCTGATCTCACTGTTAGTATCATGCAGAAAAATGCTCCTATTTTTCTGCCAGTTTTTAATCAGCCTGATGAAAGAGAATTTGCTTTTCAAATTTATTTTGACCAAGAAGAAAATGTAATTGAAAATCTGAGGATGCTTTGGAACGTATTAAGTGATTGAACAGCTCAGCTGTTTGCAGGTGGATAATCCGGTTCGGCCTTTGGCTCCATCCTCTCTCACCCTCCATCATCCCCAACCAAGGAAAGTAGGTTGAAAAGCCCACTAAGAGGAATTGAAGATAAAGGCTATGGCATCTCCTCCTATGCCACATCTGTAGGGGCAAAACAAACGAAACCGCAATGCAGATTTTGGGCACAGTATTATTTTAAAGACCTGCTTGCTTTCAGGGCATGAAAATAGCAGCAAAGCCGCCAGCCTCTGATCTCTCCTCTTTCAGCTGCTACAAGGGAGCAGCTCCCAATCTGGGTCCTGGCTGTTCCCAGCCATCCAAAGCCCCCTGCGACATTTAGTTAAGTTGGATGCATGAATGAGACCAGGAGGCGTCCTGAAAGCCACAAGAGAGCACCGAGGAGCCCACGCCCAATTAGCTTCGAATAGGCTGCTCCACAATGAGCCTGAACACCCCCCCCCCACCTTTTTTTTTGGCTGCTCTGTGTGGCAAAGAACAGCAGCATAAAACCGGGGCGGGGGCGGACTCAGCCTTGAAAAGCGTCTCAGGGTATTTTGCTGGCATCAAAGCAGCTCCCGCTAACGGCGGGGCCTCTGCCCAAGCGTGCCTTTGGAGGCGGTTCTCTTCTCTTAATGGACAAAAGCACATTTCCTGCAGGTAGCCCCGACTGGGGAGGGGGGGCAACGGGGGTGGGTTTTGAAAGCACAGCAGCTGCTTGAACTTCCTCAGCTGCCCCGGAATGGCGGCTCAGAGGCCCATCAGGCTGTGCCCCAGCCACGAGGGCGGGTCAAACTAAGGAGCCTCTTTCCTGAACTCTTTCAAGTCCCGCTTTGCTTAACCACGGTTTGTTGAGCAAGCCGGCATTGCTGGGTCTGCGCAAGAACCTAGCCGCTCTGGAGAGGAGGCTGGGAGACGCGGCCTTCCCGCGGAAGTGTCCCGGCACCTTCCAGTCCCCGACAGGACCGAGGCCCCGTCCGCCTCCTCGCCATCCGGACTTCCCCGAAAGAGCAGGAGGTGGCTCGGGCTCCGCACCCAACTGCACGGAGGATGCGCCGCGGAGTTCGGCCGCCGCAACTCCCTTTTCCTCCCAGCCGGTCCCTGGCGGGAGGACCCGGACCGGAGTTCCGCCCCTGCCCGCGCTCGCTCGCTCGGCCGTCGTTCCGCGCTCTGCACGCGCCCAGAGACGCTCTGCCGCGGCCCGGCCCGCCTCCGCGGCCCGGCCCGCCTCCGCTCCCCGCCTGGCCGGGCGGCGGGAGGGATCTGGCGCAGGGGGCGGGGAGAGGGTCGCGCAGCCCCGCCGGAGCCGGGGAGGTGCGGGCCGCCCTGGCTGCTGGCCGCCTGCGGGCGCTGGGGGCGCCGTTGCGGAGCGCGGGGCGGGGGCGGCCGGGGCGGCCCGGAGACGCCCCCGCGCCGAGCGCCGCCCCGCTGGCTGGCTGGTTGCTGCTGCTCGTCCGGCCGGGCCGTCGGAAGCGGAGCGGAGCCAGGAGCGGCGGCCGGCCATGGAGCAGGGCGCGCCCCGCCGCCAACCGCGCCTCTGCCAGATGCTCCGCGGCGAGCAGGGCTACGGCTTCCACCTGCACGGCGAGAAGGGCAAAAGCGGCCAGTTCATCCGCAAGGTCGAGCCTGGCTCGCCGGCCGAGGCAGCGGGGCTGCGCGCCGGGGACCGCCTGCTCGAAGTCAACGGCGTCAACGTGGAGAAAGAGACGCACCACCAGGTGGGTCCGCCGGCCGGGCAGACGAGCCTCCCCGGGCGGCGCAGTCTACCTGGAAAAGCCGGAGCCCTTAAAAGCGCGGCGGCGTAGGCGGCATGAGGGGCTCCGAGTTCCCTCAGCCCTGAGTCTCCCGGGCCTTCCCCCACACCCGTACCCAAACGCCCCCAGACCCGCCCCGAATCAGCCGCCCTTCGGGACAGTTTGGCCCCCGACGGAAGGGGTCTCTGGAGGACTTGGGGCGGGGAAGATGCCCGCATGGCCTGGCCGGCTGGCCCGCCAGATAAGGGTCTTGCCGGGCTCCTCCCTGGGTTATCAGGACAGGCAAGCCAGGGACCTGCCTGGTGGGGAGCTCGGGAGCCGAACTAGAGCCTCCCCCCCTCCACAAAGGCCATCTCCCTATTGCACATCTGGACTGTTTCCACCTTTAAATCAGGGCAGAGGGGCTGCTTCTGGGAGGAGCCTCGAGGTGGATGCCAGGTTAAGCCTGAGGTGGCAGGTGGTTTTGGAGTGGTCCCCGCCCAACTGGCACCTTCCCAGAATTCTCACCGGGACTAGCCTGGCTGGGAATTCTGGAAAATCGGTCCCAACATCCCTAGAGGTGCCAGGGTCCCAGTGGCTGTTGCAGTGATGGAGCTCAGGAAACTTGGCAGTGTATGTACAGCTGTGGTTTAAGGAGGATTTACTTGGAAACTACCCATGTGCAGGGAAGGAAGAAACAACATGTCAGCCTGCTGGACGGTTCTCCCCTTTTCTTCTGCTTGCTTTGGTGCAGGGGGTTTTTGGTTGCTAGAGACCCTGCAGCAACTTGGGGGGGCGGGGGGGAGAAACAGCTTGTTCATGGCTTGCTTTCAATATTGAAGCCTGGAGAAGTGAGGGAGCCCCTTCCCTTCCAGCTGCTTCAGAGGACTTGCAGCAGGAAAGTTTACTCTGTAAACTGAGTCCTCCCTTCCCCTGCTGTGTAAACAAGGCAAGCCTTGTGCTTGCAGGACTGCACTCAAGTGGGCCATCCAAAGGCTGGAGAAAACGGAGAGGATTCGCAGGCTGGAGAGTCCTGGGTGTTGGGCCCAGAATAAAGAGAAAGCGCTGATCCCCGACTGGGGAGAGCGACCATACTCTCATGGGAGCTCATTGGAGAGTTTGGCTGGTCTAATAAGATTAAAATGAGGAGAGACCTCCGTGGAGGCTTCCTTGCCACCCCTCCAGAGAGGGTAAAACCTCCTTTGCTTGATGGACATCTTAGATCTGCCATGCTTGTGTGTCTTTCCTTGCGAGAGTGTTGGTGGGGGGAGCAGAGTCTCATTTTCTGCATCTGCTGGGGGAGGGGGCTCACGGCTCAGCCCCAAGCTGGTTTCAAAGGGCAGGCAGGGAGGGGTCTCATTTGGGGCTCTGCGAAGAGCAGCATTTGGCTGCTGCACCAGCAATGGCCTGGCTCTGTTGGGTTCAGAGGGAAAACGGGGGTGTCTGAGGCTGAGGTTCCTGCCGTTTGGCCTCAAAAATGGAGAATAAATAAGCTATCCCATAATAATATAATAATATCCCAAAATAAGGCATCCCATAGCAGCTCTTTGGTTGTAATTGAGATGTTTCAGTCAGGAGAGCAATGATAAGACCGGAGGGCCAAATGCATCCATCCATCCATTCATCCAACCAGTGTCCTGAATGAGGAGCAGGGCTGTGCAGCTTCAACCTTTATCATGACTTAGTCAAGTCCTGCCGTTGCTTCTTCTGTCATGGCGTTTCTAACTTTTTCCCTGCCAGGCAGGCTGGGCTGAGAGGAAGGTCCTTTCCCCTCCTCCTTTGAGGCAGAATCACAGGGAGCCGAGCTCCCCGCTGCAGGGCACCAAGGGGACCAAGAAGGTGCTTTTATAATGAAAGGGGTGAGGTTAATGAAGTTCTCATGAGCAGGAGGCCTGGGCTGGAAGCCGGCCAAACAAGGGAGAAATGGGCAGGTGGAAGGAAGGAGGCAAAAGACAGCGGCGGCTGCCGGCCTTGTCTGCGTGGATGAGGATTGTGTCTGAATGATATTCTGCTTTTTGGCCCGGAGGCTGCAGAGAGCCAGCTTGCCCTGCCTAAGTCCATAGTGCAGCTCTTTCCAGCAAGGGGGCACTAACTGTGTTTCAGGTGGTCACTCCCCAGGAGAGCTGTGGTGGGCCTCTGGATCGCTTCTCACCGTCTCACCTCCCTCGCTCTGCTTTCCTTGGCTCCAGGCTTTCTTCTTGCCTTTTGGCAGCGCCTCTGGCATCCCTGCAAACTCCTTTCCGCAACCTCTGCTTAACCGAAACTTGTTTGCTGAGTGGCTGAGGTTGGAGATCAGCCCAATGGGGAGAATCCAGCATGTTGAAATCCGCCCTGGAAATTTTTCAGGCCTTTTATTTGGGCAAGGACAGGTCAACTGGGGTGGACTGCTTCACGTTCCCATCTGTTTCTCCCTCCCATTGAATGTACCTGAGAGGGCAGTGCCAGACCTGTGGTCATGCCCACCGGCCAAACAGGAGAGGAATCAAGACTTCCTGGTTGTTCCTCAGAAAAGGATGCCTCCGGGGTGCCTGCTGATTAGCAGGGGGGGGGGGGGCAGAAGGAGCTGCCTTCTGCTAACAGCCACACAGTTGGAGGGACTTGTCTACCTTGGAGTGAACAACAGCCACACTTGGGTGACCAGGTGGGGAAGCCTCCTTTCTTTTTCCTAGCTGTCAATGTATAAGCAGGTGGCTAAAGCATGTTCTTATGGGCTAGTGCTGAAGACTGATGTGCAGGTTGGAACACCACAATATTTAGAGATCGTTCTGTTCTCACTGGGCAGCTGTTGCTTTGAAGACACCCCAGATGAAGCTAAAATGCCTTTGAGAAGCTTGTCAGTCAGTGTATTGTGGAAACTGGATTCCATTTGGCTTTCTTAATCTGGGTTTGGGACTTTGAAAACACAACCAATGGATCCTGCAGCAGAATTATCACACCGGGGAGAATAAGAGATGCATTCCAAGACATAGGTGTGTGAAGAGAGAGGGGTGCGGAAATAAATCATTTGATTTATCAGGAATATAAGGCTTCTGCCTTGAGGAGGGGGGTAGGACTAGAAGACCCCCAAGGTCCCTTTCCTCCCATGTCATTATGCAAACGCTGTTGTGACTTACATTGTTGCATTGGATGTAGGGGGGATTCAAGGACTGAATGGCTGCATTTGCATGATAATATTGCTGGGTGTGATATCTCTGTATTAGAGAAGTAAGAGGTGTCTCTGTTTTGTATAATTGCATTGTAAAGCCTGGCAACTATAATTTGCGTACCCTGATTTCCTGCTTAATGTGCCAGGTGGACCTCGGCAGTTGTGCCTGAGTAAATCTCGGTAGGCCAATTGAGCTATATGGATGTTCTTGTACCCAACGTGTGTCACACTGTCCCACAGATGCATTAGGACTACAAGCTCCAGAATCCCTACCAACCTCTGTTCTGGCTGTGAGACTTCTTGGGCTAGCATCGCTCCTTGAATCGTGCAATCATAGAGCCACGATCTCCTCCTTTGATACTGCTAAATGAACATTTCCTCACAGCACTAATCAGTCAGCTTTCAGCTCAAATGTTTTGCATGTTTCGCATGTTTCTTTCTGGGCATGTGTGTTTGTGTCTGTCTTTTCAGTTGACATTTTGGACTCCAAACCACAAGGCTCTTTCCTTGTCTTCAGGGCAATTCCAGGCATGCTTATTAAGAAGTGAAGTGCAACCAACTATGGTTGGAGGATCTGTCCCTGAACCATTTCTTCAAATCCCGATTTCAAAATGTGCAGATTCTAATCCACAATTCCTTGTGGATCTGAGTCAGTGCAACACCTACTGATAATAAGACGGAGGCTCTTACGGAGAATTGGGGTGCTTCCTAAGTGGGCATCTTGAAGTAGAGGCTCCATTTCTGGAGGTTCTGCAGGAAAGCAGTGAGGATGGTCACTAAGGAGCTTTTCCAGGTTCTTCCCGGCCAGCTTGTTCAACTTTAGAATTTCTCCATCAAAGTTCAGAAGTTGAGTGGGATCTTTTTTCCAAACATCAGCATTTAGTTGCCACTAAAAAGCCCCCTTGTGCCAGGTGTGGGACTGGAGGAAGGGGAAGCTTCAGAGCCCTAGGGAGGGCTTCATGCAGGGAAGGGAAGGGCGTCCACATAACCACCTTGACATTAGGCGATGGAGGGGGGAGCAGAAATGTCTTGCTCCACTCAGGGAATTTCATCAAAATGTTTTTCTCCCTTGGAAAGCAAGGTAAACAGCAGGAAACAAAAAGGAGGAACGAAATGACAGGAGAACAAACTGGGTGGAAACAAAAGAAAGCCACTATTTTCTGGATTAAAAGCCTCTTAAAGGACCCAGGTGAAGAGGCCATGTCTCCAAGCCTCAGGCTGCTTCCAAACACCTGCAGGGAGTGGGTTATTCAGGTCTGCCTGTCCCAGAGGGTGGGCATTGCCCCAGAGGAGGGGTCTCAATAGGCAGCATTGCCTGATTGAAGGAACCTGGAGCATACTGACCCTGCACGGTTCCTGAGTGGGCTGGGCAGATGCTGTGGAGGGCAGCTGTGGAGGGTAGCATATCGGAGCATGCCCATCACTGCCTTCTAGGCCAGTTGAAGCTTCTGAGTGGTCTTCAAGGGCAGGTTCTCAAAGAGCATATGGCAATAGTCAAGTCGTGAGATGGCCACACAGCATGAGTGATTGTCAGGAGAAAGACCTGTCAGCCTGATCTAGAAAAAGTGCAACTGGTACACCAGATGAAGCTGTGCAAAGAACTCCTGGTGGTTGCTCCTTCCCTTTAATCAAAGCAAATGGTTTTCTCCATGTAATATTAATGACGATCCAAAGCTGCTGTAAGTCATCACTGTCTATAGATTCAGCAGCTGGCCACAATGTCATCACTGTCTATAGATTCTTGCTTCTGGCCACAATGAGTCCTGAAACACACTCCAGATTCAGAGGCGGATTCTGCCTGGGACAGGCTGCTCCCCATGCTCACTCAAATGTTTTATGCTCAACTCGCTGCTTGAAATGCTGAATGGGTTACTCAGCACCTGCTTAAAAAACAATTCACCTCCACCTAAGGGAGTCTCTAAGCGGCAGAGGGAAGGGGTGGGCCTCCCTTCAGGTAGGGCCTGCTTGCAATGTGCTGAGGCAGGGGGGGGGAGCACTTTCCAGACTCTCTGCAGCTTGTGGGAATGTGGTGCAAAGGTTTGAACCAGTCCTAGGTGTATTAAAGGCATCTGCAAATGCAACTGAAGGCAGCAGATGGTTTTCGGATGTGGAGCTACAGATGGCAGCACTGGCAGGTAGCATTGATGGGGCTGCTTCCCACCGGCCCCTTTTCAGGCAGAGCAGCCCGCCCAGATTCCTCATCTGTGTGGCTTTGTCTTCAAGGCAGAAATGGCTCTGTTGGGAGGCTGGTTCACGCGGACTGCATCCTCCCCAAATGCTGAGTTGTGTGAGACAGGCTGTGGATGGGGGGACTGTCCCTGAATGTTTTCCCTGCAGCAGGTGGGGCCACAGATAGAATGGATGGGGTTGCCCCATGCCTGTAGGGCTAGACCTTTCCCTTGGAACTGAACTGGAGAAGCTTCTTGGATGGGGAGCAAAATGTCTTCCAGGAAAAGAAAACACTTTTGTGGAGTGGCACCTGAAGGCCTGAACCCCAGGAAAAGAGCCAGCTGCTTGATGGAGTCCTCTCTTTGTACCTTGGGGAAGCTTTTGCCAGTTGGAAGATCTTCCTGGCCCTCGTCGAGGGGTAACTGAGAACCGCAGATTTAGAGCAACATCTGAATCCAAGAACTGCAATTGATTTAACCAACCTCAAGCGTCTCCCTTCCTCTTCGACATCCAGGGCCAGACTGACCTCCCTGAGAAGCTCCCCTTGACCACTTTCCCAGCCAAAGGAACAAACCGCCACAGTTGCTGCCCCGCCTTTGGAATGAAAGGGACTGTATTTCTGCTCCTATAAATGCCACTCAGGAGATTTTTTTTTCCTATTTAGCAAATTCCTGTTCTTTTGGGGGGTCTTTCTGATGCTTTCTTCTTCTCCCCTTGCCCATCTGTCCTTCCTCAGGTTGTGCAGCGCATCAAAGCAATTGAAGCCGAGACCCAGTTGCTGGTGGTGGACAAAGAGACTGATGAGCATTTCCGGAGTCTCCGTCTGACCTGCTCCGAGGAGGCCGGTCGGCCGATCATGGTGGCAAACCCTGAAGCACTGCCAGTCAAGGGGCCCCATTCCAGTAATGGAGACTCCTGGAAGGCTCTGGCCGAGCTGAGCAGCAGGAGCCTGAAAAGGCACAAGCACAGTTTAGGTTCGGAGAGTGGGAAGAAGGTAAGGCTGGCTGGCTGTTCCGGAGATGGAGGGGAAGTGCAGCGGGAAAGGCTTCCTCTGTCACCGTCTGCAGAGCTTACCGAGAGTGCAGGCGAGGCCCCAGGGCCTTGAAGACCCTCAGAAGAGGCCTGTCTTCTCCATCTTGGATGCTACCATGTGCATCTGGCGGAGAGACCCCAGAGGCTGGGCGGGGCACTCCTTAGCCTGACTTAGCCTCAGGGTAGTCCAAGGTTCTTTATGCCATTCCTTGCAAGGCGCCTTGTCTCTCCCCTAGATCAATATTTGGGCTGCAGCCACTTTCCGAGCATTGAACCTGCATGTTGCTGGGCTGGCCTTTCCTTGTTGGGCCATCGGACATTGGAGGAACCTAGCAGTGGTGAAAGGTCTAAATATCAATTTCTCATTTCTCCAAATCTGTCAAATTCAGTTTTTCTGAGATAGTCAATTTTGTGAATGTATCAGATTTGCTTTGTTGAATTTGAGAAATCTTTTTTTTTAAAGTTTCCATTTCAAATGACATGCCAGCTGATTTCTCCAAACATAACAAAGATTGCTGGCAGTTTTGCCTAATATTATCTGTTTTTTTCAAACATTTCTGGACCTTCGTTTCATAATTAGGAGTGAGTTTCTGTGATTGCTTTTTTTACAATGTGCAAACTCTGTTGATGGGTTTAGTAAACCCAACGGCATTTTGAATAGGACCTCAACCGATGCAGAGTCAGTTTGTTTTGCTTTCCAGGGTGAATTCCAACCGTTCCCCTCCCTTACCTCAATTTCTCCCCCTTGTGCAGAGAACAAGAGCCGGAGGATGATTGGGGAGGCCAAGGGGCAAAGGAGTTCTGTGTGGGCAATTGCCATGGAGAGCAGGTGGAGTGGAAGGTTTTGAGCCCAGCAGGGAAGCCGTTCTGCGTAGGGGTTCAGGAGGGCAGAGGGCAAGAGAATGCCAGTGGCAACAGGGAGGAGAAGCTGTTATGCAGAGGAAGTCAATGCATGCCCACGTTATGACAGAAGCACAGCTAGGTCCACAGTGGCTGATTCTGCTGCTCGACTGGCCCTGCCCGTGGCTGCTGAGGCAAGTTCTGGGAGGGATCATAGCTCTGCTTGGATACCAGGCAGCTGAGCCTTCTCCCCCTGCCCTTTTCCAAAGAGCCAGACCGATATCAAGAGAAGACTTCCAGGACTCTTGCTGGGTACCTGGTGACTTCTTGGGGGTATCCGTGTCCAGGCTTTGGAAGCAGTACGGAAGTGCTTTCCTACTGCCCTTCCCAGGGAGCTATTCCCCATTCCTATGTCTAGCCTGGAGCCCTGGGGTTTTGCAGGATCTCCCATCCAGGCATTCATAAGATTCAGCTTTGGAGATTGTTTAGCAATAGCAATAGCAGTTAGACTTATATACCGCTTCATAGGGCTTTCAGCCCTCTCTAAGCGGTTTACAGAGTCAGCATATCACCCCCACAGTCTGGGTCCTCATTTCACCCACCTCGGAAGGATGGAAGGTTGAGTCAACCTTGAGCCGGTGAGATTTGAACCGCCGAACTGCAGATAGCAGTCAGCTGAAGTGGCCTGCAGTCTAACCACTGCACCACCTCTAAAGTCAGTTACTCAACTTATGACCACAATTGGGACTTGGACTTTGGTCCCTAAGTAATATGGTTGTTAAATGAGTCATCACATAACAAAACTGGATTTTATGACAGTTTTTTCAGTGGTTGTTAAGCAAATCACATGGTTATTAAGTGAATCTTGCAGTTGCTAAGTGAATCTAGCTTCCCCAGTTGATGTTGCTGGGTGGAAACAGACTGGAAAGGTTACAAATACCCATCATGCGACCGCAAGACACTGCAGCCAGCGGTAAAGGTGAACCAGTTGCCAAGCTCCCAAATTTGATCACCTGACCATGAAGGTTGTGTGACAGTTGTAATTTTGACAACAGGTTGTAAATCACTTTTACTTTGAACTGTCTTTAAACAACTGGTTGTAAGTCATTGTAAGTATTGATGTTAAGTGGTGACAATATCTATTCATTTAATAGCATTAGTCTACAAATGTTTGGAATGCTAATTTTGCACTGTTTGATCTTGCTTGCTGAAACGATGTGCTCAATTTCATTTCCATTTGGATGAACCTGGTGGATAGTTTCCTGAAGATTTTTTCCCCCTTTAACACTGCAAAATAACAAATTAGCAGAGCGATTGAGCCGTAGCTCTATATTTTATGCAAATGTTTGGGACAGCTTGTCTGTCTCCCTGTTAATGCAGCCTGGATGGGTAAACGCCTTTTAGGTTCATTGCTGTAGCACAGGGATTCCCGAACCAGGAACTTTGATTAAAACGGGTACTGAGAATGTCAGCATGATCGACTCCTCTGCAGATTCCTTTCCGCTCTTGGTTGGCTTCTCCCTTAGGAAAACAAAGTGGAATAGCAGAGAACGGACACTGCCGGGTGAGCTTTAGGAAACTTCAATGACATCTGCTGGGAATGCAGCACCAGGGTGGGGGTGGGGAGATCCAGTAAGATTTTGAGCTCCAGAAGGAGGTTGCACTTTTTTCTGGAGGAGGAGGGGGGGCTCAAATCTCCATCTGCTGAACTCCAAACAAACTGGAGAAAAGAATGTCCCAGGAGTGGAGGAGGAAATATGCATCTCTGAACTAACAGCTGTTGCAAAATGATGCTCTTGATACAGTTGTGGTCAAACCTCATTACTGGCTTTGCAGTTGTATGGCAGCTCACTTCTGTCACCTGTATGAAGCGGTGCAAAGCGCATTAGGGTATCAGATTGTCACATCCTTCTATGTTTGCTAGTAATGGGAGGGGGGCAAATGAACAGATGGAAGGAAGGCATGCTGTCATTTCAGAGCTTGGTAGGAACTGTCCACCTGCTTCCAAGTTTATCTTTGACATTTTAAGCTTTGGTGCACCTTCCACCCTGCTGTGCTCAAGAGGGTCAAGTTCAGACAGCCGGGACGATCATGCTGGCAAAGCCTTTGGTAAAGGCTGGTCCAACGTTTATGGCAGATGGTAGAGCCTCCGTTAAGCGGACATTGTATCAGCTGATGGCCCTTACTTTGCGCAAGCTGCCCCATATTTTCCTCATTGTCCTTAGATGCAACTTTCAGGCAACTGAGGTTCAGATGCACTGCAGAGCTAAATGTTGCTGTCCAAGCACTTTTATTTGTTAGGGAACTTGTGCATTTGAGAGAAGCAGATGTAATCAAGTAATTTTCTGCAAAAAATGGACTGGAAGGGATTCTGAAATTAACTGAATCAGACATTGCGTTTTGGTTATCAGGTTAGGGCTGCAAAAATATGGACAAGCAGCAGATGCCAAAAGACCGAGAAGATACAAACTCTGCTACCAGCTGGTGGTAGGCTGAATTTTTGCTGCCTGCCTCAGATTGTCTGCTAAAATGCAAGTGTAGGTGATAAAAGGACAGAATTACCCTGATAATCTGGGTCGCCCAAGAGCTTGGTGGCACTAAAGCACTTAAAATCCAGCTTTATCTCATGGCCAGGAATGGAACAATGGTTAAGGCTGATGCATGAATGGAGACAGGGCACTGAGTGAATCAGCCTCACCTCGCTGGGACCTCTGACCGCCTGGCACCTTGCGATCCTCTTCTCAGTCCAGTAGAAACAGTGCTGCATTGTTTGCCTTGTGTCAGCTGAGGAAGACAATGACTGGCATACAAAAGGGGCACTTGGGTGTCGCCCTCGTCTGGTTTGCGGGAGGCTGCAAAGAACGTCCCTTTTTAAAAATGAAAAGCATATTTGAAGGAGCTTTGCCTCCCCAAAGACTTTGCCAGTGTTGCTGGGTCCAGCCTGAGGGTCCTCATGGCCCAGGCAAGACCCAGACATTGCAAACAAAGTCTCTGATGCTTTTGCCAGGCCTCCTTTCAGCATTGCAAACTTTTCTCCACTCCTGGAGAAGTTCTGTTTGCATGTTGCCCAGATAAGCTTTGGGGGTTAAAGCGCAAACAATTACCTCTTCAGTTGACTTACAGATTTGCTTCTGAGGAAAATTGATTTCTGGAATCAGACATTTGCATATGTTTGCATTTATCTTTTTTTTGGTGGGGGGGTGGGTAGAATTGTGTTTTTCACATTCTAGACAATGTTTATGAGCATCTTTGTTTGTCTTTTCCCCTTTCTCTCTGTGCCAAGGGATTCCGCCCCATGGGAGGAAGAAGAGAGATATGGCATCCCACTGTTGCCTGCAGAGGTGTTTTTTCGAACTCCCGGGGTAGCCCCCAGACTGGGCATTTTCTGGTGGTCTTCTCTCCAAGGATCAATCAGGCTTGACTCCCCATGGTTTTTCAAGCATACTGGAAAATAATAGAAAATACTCATATTAGGTTCTTGCCCCTCTTAGTTCGGTCATAAGGCCAGCTGCTGGGAATGAGAAGTGACTCATGCTTCTCTGGGGAGAGGGGAGATGCCCTCTGCCTCCGTCCAGAACCCATCTCTCAATGTTCTTGGAAGAACATCAACAAATGCTGCTATTATTTCATTATGCCCTCCCATCCATATTGGGGTGATGGCTTTGCTTGATGCATTAGTTGCAGCCCTGCCTTATCAAGATCAGGGGGTCTTGGTGACACTAACTCATTCCTTGACTCCTGTGTAGGTGGACCATTGCCGTGCATTCTACTTAGGGCTGCCTTTGAAGGTAATTTGGAAGCTTCATTAGGACAGAAGGTAGCAAGCCATTAGCTAGCTGGGGAAAGCCGCTGTTGTAGAATTGCATCTGTAGACTTCTTGGCTCAATTCAGGGTGCTGGTTATCCTAAAGCCTGCACAGCATGTTGCCTTGCCCAACTGTTTAGATGTCTAGGTGGGTCTGCTTAAGATCCCACCTCCTCAAGAAGTAAGGAATGTGAGCAGGAGGCAAAGCTTCCGTATGGCAGCCCCGTTCAACAGTTTGGAATATGTTTGACCCAACCTTTAAATGGATCCCTGATGATAATGGGTGGGTTTTGAATTATGGTAGGCTGTCCTAGCTCC